CTAAGCAGTGCAGTAATGTTCAGCACTGCCCAGATGCTCTTCCTGAACTGCATTTTATGGCCCTGTCTCTGCAGCTCCTCCAACCTCGGGGGAACTGCTCAGCTGGGAAGGGATTGGGAAGAAAAATGTCACAGCCAGGCCCTGCCAAGCACACGAAGTGTTTGGGCAAGGGTCTCACTGCACAATTTTTCTAAGACTGGGGACAAATATTAAAGCTATTTTCTTCCTTCAGAGAAGTTTTAAAGTCACTTAAAGTCTGATAGCACTTTCCAGCTGGAAACTGGACTTTGCTCCTCAGTGTAGTTCCACTTACTCATCTGACAGCTACCAATTACTCATGTGAGCAACGCACGAAGTTCTGTAGCAGGGGGATAAAACACGAGAGCCAATCCACTTGCTCAGAGGAGCAAGTTTCTAAATTCAATAACAAAATCAGAACTCTGCAACAGCCCCTCCCTCCTCCACATAGTTTGTTGCTTAAAATCTTAAAGGAAAAAAAATATCATGTTCTCTATGAATACCATCATAGCATGATCAATTTTTTTCCTACAAAAATGCATAATCAGTTTTGTAGCTTTTCTACTTGTACTGCAGACCAGTAAAGGAAAACTCTGTGAAACTCTCACACTTTCATTTCACAGTATTCTTAATGTTACCTAATTTCCCAGTTTAAAAATAGATTACAGGGATTAAGAGACTTTTGAATCTAAAAAGAATGCACATATTAGGGAAATTGCTACCTAAAGTAAATAGCCTACTTTAATAAGCAGTCTCCTAGTTTGTATGGTATTAAGGAAAAAAACACTTCACAGGCATCTAGTTAACTAACACATGTCAGCCAGCTTCATTTGCAAGTTCAAAATCCAGAGGTAGATAAAATATTAGTTTGGTTTGGAATATGCAAAATGCCAATTTTTCATGTATTAATGCACTGAAGCATTTGATACAATGTTATTATGGAAGGAAAAAATAGTTGCCAGAAGGGTTTATTTAAGGAATGGTTACTGCAAATAAAAACTTTCAACTAAAAAGGATTTTTTAAATTGTTTTTTAATATGCTTTTAATGACCTCTACTCCTCATACCTACCTCCTTGCTTCCCAAACTGTTTGTACTGTCCCCAATAACACTCAGTGGAAAGCTGTCGTTCCTGGCTAAATCCTTACTTAGGTTGGATGCTATGCCTCCGTTAGACAGGGTCACAAGGTCACAATCGATTTTGGAGGCCACCTGGAGAGTCCAGGCCGTGAACTGACTCAAAAAATTTATATCAGAGCTGGAATGGCCCACCTCCCAGGGCTCAGCCTGCGTTAACACCCCAACCGCAGGATGGAGCCTGCCAGGCCCGGCTCAGAGAGAGGCCAGAGTTGTTGACCCCGTTAGCTGACCTCTTCAAACTTCAGGAGAATTTTTCTGGCAGTTACCACGGTGACTGGGCACTCCAAGCTTATCCTTCTTACTGAAAAAAAAAAAAAAAAAAAAAAAAAAGACGAAAAATTAAGAAGAAAAAAAAACGTTAAAACCTACCTCATAGGGATGTCTGTCAGGAATCAAACACGTAAAAGTTTTAATTGTTTGCTTCTCTCTTGGGCTGCTCGGGCTCTAAGTGGTACATCCGATGGGAACATTGAGAAAACAGTTTGGCTGAAAGCATTTCAACTTGTGAAGAAATAATGCTCAGTGGATTTAACAAGAAGCATTTCTAGTATCTGCTGGTGATCACAAGTGACATGCTAAGAGGTTTATTGTGAAATAATGTTTATTTTTCTTTCTGTAGCTTTCTCCAAATTGCTACCATTTCTCACTGAATTGAAAAGAAGCTGAGACAAGGCTCAGGGAAAGGATTCTATGCTGCCTTCTGGGTTTTTTTTCCTTTTAAAAACTATCTACTGGGTGAAACATTAAGTATGCAGCAGTACCTTGCTTTGGTCTCTCAGAAGAGACTGCATAACCTATTTAATGTACCATGAAATATTATTTAAGAGGAAAAAGCAAAAAAAACCCCAAAAGTTGTCAGACATCGTTAGTGCTGGTTTTTTCAGGCACTTTGAACACTAATCACTTCACACCTAAAATTTAGCAGGTAAGCAAGGTCTAGTGATGCTGACAGAAAACACTTGAAACACATCAAGGGATCACAGAGTGTGCTAGGTAAACAAGAAAACAAAGTGCACCCTTCATTTCTGAAAAAAGAAGGGGAAAACTGGTGCTTTTTAATTTCAGAGCAATCACATATTACACACAAAGCTTTTATGTAAATTTTCCTCATGCTCCTCTACTTGAAATAGCATCTTGCAAAAGGGAGCAGTGAAGAGTACACTGCATTATAGCTGGAAAAATCCTACTTAAGGGCTCCTGATGGCAAACTGTCAATCAGTATTCCCCGCTTGTTATGAACTGCTCATTTCTGGAGTACAGCTAAACAGAGGTTTAATGATTGAAACTTTATGGCATTTTGTCTCACACATGGTTCTGAAGTATCTTCTGTTGTTTGAAGAGTTAAATATGGATATTCAAATTGCTGAGAGCCACTGCTCTGCTCCTCCTGGGCTTCTCCAGTGGCAGTGCTGAGATGGCAGAGGGACCGAGCTGCTGAGTCGCCTCTCAGGGGAGGACATCACACAGACCCTATGGACACAAAAATAAAGCAGGAGGTTTGGGTGTGCCAAGCAAAAAGCACAGAGCTGATCTTTTGCTCCAGGCTTACTTTTCATTTCTGCTGGAAGGATGAGAAAAAGGCAGTCCAGCGTATGTGTGTTAACTAACATTAAAAAAAGTGAATGAGGGCATGGTACAGGACCCTTTCTCCTTTCAAAACTGGTTCAATTGCTTTGAAATATCACATGCCTCAAGGCTAAATAGATACATACACTTAATAATATTATTTAGCAATAGTGAATTAAACATGAAAACAATTTAAATTAAAAACACTTAAAGATTGTTTCCCTGTTATTAAGGATGTGTTAGAAAAAGGCTAACCCTCTCATTAGGAGATGGATTTTTTCATTTGTGCTTTTGTTATGGCTATACAAGATGTTTTTATACTTTCTTTTATTCTCTGCATGAAATAATGTAAATTGAAACAATCAGGTGGCTGATCAATGGGCTAGTGGGAAGAAAAAAATGTTTGCTAGATTCTATTTCTTCTCTTTCTTTTTGAACAACACTATATATAAGCACGTGCCTTTCAATTAGATACCATGATTTATGAAGTCATGCTCAGGGCTAGCCAGGTTGTTGACTCAGATTAGAGCTATGATGCCAGCTCATTCCCTGGTGACAAACACTGACTGTCCTTCCCGCAGCCAGGCACCCCTGGCAGCCTTATGAAAAGACCTTGTGGTTGGCACAGCACTGGGCAGGAAATGAGGTCCTCTCCGGTTCGGGACAGAGATGACTGGAGCTACAGAAAGCTGTAAAGCAAAATCAGCATCTCCTGAGTCACAGGCTTTAAGCTCTGGTGGGCCCCACAGTTCCCAGGGTGACCTGGCCACCAGCGCTGCCTCTCCCACGGCCCTGCCAGCCCAGGGGAGCACTGAGGGCTGCACACTGGGCTGCCACGCCATGGGGCTGCTTTCCTGAGGGAGAGGGGAGCAGAGGGCACTGCGCTCCCCCACTCTCACCGCATGCCCCAGCCTGGTGCTCAGCACCCTCCTCAGGGAATCCCTTTCTCGCTCATCCCCACCAGAGATTTTTTTGGCATGCTGTGTGGTGTTTTTCAATATCACAAGGCTTTTATGTCAGCCTATAGCTTGGGGATCTCTGTGTGGCCTACCCTCCTCCAGGAATTTCTCATATAAATCACGGGAAAGCAGGAAATCCCTAAGTCGTGGTAGGAAGCTGTTTACCATGTTTGCCTCAGCACAGACAGCTGCAGACCACAGAGCATCTTGCCTTGTAGGTACCACTGCAACCCCGACACCTGGACCTGAAATAGGGGAACTTGGCGCCCTTCCTCTGAGATCTCTGAGCCAGAAAGTGAGCTCCTGGAATAGGGTTAGAAACTCCATGGAGCAGAACTCCCTGATCTTCTCTGTGTAACACTTTCACTCCAAATTCCCTCAATGCCATTGAAACAATAATATTTAGACCATTTGGGGCTGAGATTATTGCTTTAATAAATTGGGTTTTTATTGGTTCATTGTGGCAAATAAGCCCCCGATTGATTTTGCTCCTAATCAGCATGGAGAATGCATTCCGCTGTAATTAAATCCCGTGTAACTGGGCACTCTGTGTTCGCTTGTCTCTTAGCTTGCAGTGGCATGAGATACAGCACATCAAACGCTATCCTCGCCACGATAGGCACCCTGCCAGCCCGCGGAGCGATGATGCTCGCCTTCAGCGTGCTCACAGTGCCTACGGCTGGAGCAGCGGGCAGCGCTCGGGAGACGTAGGAAACTTATGAGAGGAGGGAGGATGGCCAGGGATAGGGTCCTTTCCCTCGAGGAAGGTTTCACCCCCTCTCTGAACACGCTGCGGGAGAGGCGGGGGCCGCTGGCGCTCCCGCTTTCCGCAGGTGCCCGCAGCCCCGGCGCGGCTCCGCCGCCGCTCCCGGGGCTCGGGCCGGGGCAGCCGGGTCCCCTCGGCGCGGCCGGGCTGCCAGGCGGGCAGTTTTGAAGAGTCGATCTTCATAATACAAATCCCCCGGCTTCGCCTCCCCGCCAGCGGCGCGAGCCAGCTTTTTAATTGAATCCCGGGGATTTGGCCGCAGCCGAGAGCCCCGGTTCGGGCCCCAGCGCCGTGGGTCCCCCCTCCCGAGAGCGGGACCGTCTCTCGAGGGCTGATCTCTCGCCTCCAAACCGAGGCAAGGGGGGGCTCCGGCGGCCTGGGGGAGCCCCCCGGCCGGGGCCCCCGGAGGCAGAGCGCGGGCTCGCTGCACCCCGGAGCTGCGGGCGGCGGGGGGGCCGGGGCAGCTGGCGGGGCCGCGGCCGCTCCCGCCTCTCGCCCGGGCAGCGCTTTAGGGGGGGCTCAGGCCGGATCCTGCCCATTCTATACGTTAATGCTCTTTTCTCTCCGGCTGCAGGGAAGCAGGCCAGCGGATAATTACCCCTCACTGCAATCCGCAGAGCTGGCCTAATCCGAAAGCTCAAGTGCCCGTAAGTAAAACTTCAGGAAAAGTTATTGAAACTGACAAATACAGGGTGACAAATAATCAATAAAAGCCCAGTCCCACATCCTTTATTGTTTCCAGGCACTAACAGCAAGTAATGAAACCTCGGCGAGGACGGGGGAGGGAGCGGCGGGGACCGGGCGCTGGGCTGGCTCCTGGAAAGCCCCCACTAAAAGAACCCCAGGGAAGAACCCGGCAGGATGAGGGGGATGATCCCGTCTCCATGGGGGACAGGAAAATGCCACCCTCCCAGCGCCCCCTCTCCCCAAGCCCTCCCTGCCGCCCGGGGCCGGGGCGCTCGGGATGGGCGAGCCCGGGAGGCTCCAGCCCGGCCGGGAAGCTCTGCCCGAGCCGCGGGCAGGGACGCCCCGGAGCCCGGTGCCACCCGGCAGCCCCGGGCCATGCACCTACTTCACGCACCCGCACAAAAAAATCAGGCGCTGTGATCTGCGTTCTGAAATCTATAACATCCCTGAACACCCAACGCGCTCCTTCTCATTAGCATCTCGGCCCTGGATTTTCCACGCCGCAGTTTCTAAAGTTTCAGCGAAGGACGCCGGGCAAGATAAATCCGTGCTGTCGTTTCTCTCCCTTTCTGTCTCTCCAAATTAAGTTTTGATCTATCAGTTTAAACACTGGCCAGAAAGTTGATTCACTTTCTGTTAGGATTTCGGGTTAAACCGGGGGCTCCTCCAGTGTCTTTAAGCTTTTGAGCTGTGTAAATGAACTGCAGTGTCACATAATCGATGGGGAAAACTCAGCTGTCACAGATACGAAAGCAGCCTCCTGCCACAGCAATAACGTGATTTGGCATTTCAAAGTTTGGAAACGTGCTGTCTGCGCGTCCGGGGCTCGGCGAGGAAGAGGGACGGGGGCGATGCTCGGGGCGGGCGGGGGGACAGCCCCCAGCCACGGTGGCCCCGGCAGCCCCGAGAGCCGGCGCCCCGCACGGCGGCACCCGCTGCCGCTCCCTCCCTTCCCGACACACGCTGCGAAAGTTGTTTCCCAACTTTGGCGTTAGGGGAGGGTTGACCCAGAACAAATCTCAGTGTCTCGGTGGCCTTTCTAAAGCGGCCGTGCCCCCCCCGCCCCGAGCCTGCGGGACGTGCCCATCTGGAGCACGCACCGTGAGAGCAACTGTGCCGCGTACAGCCACAGCGGCCATCAGTCACTAAAAGCCACACGCTTCACTGGACCGGGGATAAAACGAAGTCCTGGTGACGCCTGGTTAAACCACTGACCCTCTTGCGCGGGCTGGAGAAGGGGGAAAGGCGGCCTCCTCCCGACAAACGCGGCTTTGGGGGCTCCGCAGGGCCGTGCCCCTCTCCCGGGTCTCTCCCCAAAGGGAATTCAGCGCGGATGTTCCGGGGAGCCCCACGGGGGGACGAGGCACGGACGGGGAGGGCCCCGGCAGAGCCCCCGGCCCGGCCATGGCCCTGGGCGGCAGCGGCAGCTCCCGTGGGCACGGGGCTCCCTCCGAAATGGTTCTTTTTATATCATAGCCTTGGGTGGAAACACCAACCCGCGGGCAGGGTGTGCTCTAAGCCGCGGGGTAAACACTGCCCTCCGTGCCCTGTCCCTGCTGCACACCCCGATTTGCCCCACACATGCGCAGGAAAACAACTCACACAGCGCGTTCAGATGCTTTCTGGCAGGGACCGGCTTTGGTTTCAAATTAGGAAGCTCTCTCAGATGAACGATAAACTCCGCTTTGGTCAGGCTATGGTGTTTAATCATATCTTTGTGGTTTTGTCTTCACCAAAAAGAGCCCCGGAGGCTCAGTCAAGAAACAGGATTTCAGATAGTTTGATTTGGCATAAGGAAACTTTGCATTTGTAATATTATAAGACTCCGAAGGGGGAAATGAAACCTCTGTAGCTGAGACAAGAAGTGTGCCTAAGTGCCACTGTGTTTCAATCCCCACTCGGATATAATTTAAGTCTTCTCTGGCTTACAGTAATATGCTCTCCAAACTTGAGGCTATCCAAAAGGGGGGGATTTAATGAGGCCGAGTTTATACACTTATATAATTTAGGGGTTTCGCAGTAGCTGTAAAATGACAATTGGTACATGTGTAGTGCAAAAGAGCTGAAATCCCATCCAGGGACCAAGTTGGTTATTTCTGAAGGAGCTGTCATTTCCAGCAGGGGGGCACAATGAGAAGGCCAGGAGCAATGGAGCTCTGATCTCCACCAAGGAGAGATAACCACCTGATTAAAATGGGGCTCTTGTTCCCTCGTTACTCGATCGTCGTGTGAACTTACCTTATTTACAATTATAGGCAATGAGTGAGTCGCCCAGATTGTAATACACCTATAGCTTTGGGTTTACTCCTCCCTTTGTTATCGACACCATCTCTCGGACAGATTTCTGGACCACTCATGGCATGTGAGCACAGAGACGCTCTGAAGGAGGGAGGGATGTGGATGTGAACGTTCCGAGCCCTGCAGTGCGAGTGCGGCGCCTTCACCCTCCCGCGGGAGGCCGGGCCCAGCAGAACCAGCCTGTGGAAATCAGGATGTTTACAGCACATAGACACGTGTGAACACCACCAGAAAGCGAAGAGACCAGAAGGCATTAGGTGAAGGACTATTTTGTGCTGCACATCTGGTATTTGCTCATTTTCCAGGTGAACCCAGGCACGGCGGCTGTCGCAGGGCACCCCCTCCTCGGCTCACTCTGGAGCCCAGGTGTGCACCGGGGGCATCAGACAATGATGCACCTCTACGCTGAAATTTAACGCACTTTGTTCTCCATTTTAATATTAAATGGTGCAGTGTTTGCCAGATTATTATCCCACTATTGCTTGTGCATTTGTCTCTTATGTCTAGTGCCTGTCATTACACAAAGCGTTTTGAAGAGCTAATTTCAAAAGACAGAAAGTCTACACTTACTATAAAAGTCATTAAATTAGCATGACAAGCATAAAGTTCCTAGGTTATAATTTGGTTATAGATCTGAAATCTTCCCTGCTTTCTCTCTCCACTTGAAGGATGAAGGCTGAAGAGAGGCACCGACTCGAAGTTAGGACAATTGAGCTGTCGATTGTTTGGTGGAGAAACAGGGAAGAGATGCGGGCTCCAACATCACCTCTTTGGCAGAGCACTGGGTGACGAGCAAGAGTTCTGATTTTCTCTCACGTCTCCCAGCCGCCAGAGAAAGGTGTGATCAGATGGTCTTCTACTACAACAGGTGGGAGAAAAAAAAAAAAAAAAAGAAAAAAAATCTCGATGCATTTCTCGTCCATTAAAATGTTGCTGGAATAGCAGGACGCGTGCCTTTTATATCCCGCTAAATGCTAAGATGGGAAGATGTGTTATAAAAGCCGCCATTGGCTGTTTCCCCTAAGGCTGCAACATCCCCTTCATTTTAATCGCTTCTTGGTTTCGGAAGAAAGCCGCGGAGGGGAGGGGGAGAGCTCCTTCCCCCGGCTCCCCGAGCATCTGCGGTGACAGGGGGCTGCAGGAAGCCCCGGGGATGCCAGGAGCGGCAGCGTGGGAGCGCCCGCTCTGCCCGGCCGGGCATCCTCTCCCTGACACGCTGCATTTCGACAACGACAAAATTAGGGAAGGGACGCGGCATTCAAACCCGGTGCTCACAGAAGAGGCTGCCCTAGTAGTTATTTAGTCTAAAAATCTGCTGTCAACTTTTTTTTTCGTCAGGATCAGCGAGGCGCGTTTCTTTGCGCTGGTTCGTTTGCTTTTAACCAGGCATGCTGCGAATTGTGGAAGCTTTCCATTTACCTTTTCTTCTTTAAGCGTTTTAATTATCATCACTGACCTGTTGGGCATACCTACAGTATCAATGTCCCCTTTACATCGCTGCCTTCCCTTTCTCTGCATGTTTCTGCTATTTAACACTTGCTACCTTTGCCATTAGAGTCCTAGAGTGACCCCCATGGGTATCTTTGAAAGAAAGACCCTCTGCATTCCAGCACTGCCTCCTTACCCAAGTAATAGCAAAGGGACCATTCAGACACATGGACCACACTGAAGCATTAATTAGGCTGATGAAATCCATAGAAATGTATGGATTCAGCATAATCGAGTTTCTTCTGCTGACTATAGTTAAGGAATACGTGAGCAGCTGGGAGAATAGAAAGTACTGTTAGGGTGAAGTCATGCATGTAATTGAGTATATTTAACATAACCATTTTAATGATCGGTGATTAAAAGTGCATCTACTTAAATTGTATACCTCTGCAATTTGTCCATATCAACTTTAGAGCGCACACAAAGAAAAGGTCGTCATATAAATTTATAAACAAGATCCCTTCCTAGCTACACATGACTCGAGCTGGAATGATAACTCAGTAGCAGCGAGGGGGGAAAGGCCTTTCGCGAGAAAATAGCTACGCCAGTACGATATTAATTAATCACTGGTTTGGCCCCTTTTCTCTCTTGTGCAGTCACAGTATTAGAAGTGCATAATAAGTGAGTTTTCTTTTCATCCGTAATTATTTATAACAATCAGATCACTCGGGAAAAAAAATCCCTGGGTTTCTTTCCAATATTCAAGGAGTATCTTTTCCCTCGCTTGACAATAGTGTGTGTATGTGTGTGTGTGTGTGTGCATTCACATATAGTCAAATAGAATATTTGGCGCTTTTTTTGGTGCTTTTTTTTTTTTTTTAGTCCACAGAAACAATCCCGGAGATCCAGCAAAGAAACACTAAATGATTAAACTTCTCCTGACGCCAAACTTGCACGCAGAGAAGTTAAGGACCAGAAACATGGACAGTGTTTGGGGGAGCCGCAGTTGATGGGCACGGCCGTGTCTCCTCGCAGGAGACCCCTGAGAATGGGAAATTAGCAGTCGAAATCTGCTAGTGGGGACTGGATCCCACAAAGCCCACGCGTTGGGAAGGCTGAGTGTCTCTCTCTCGCCTATTCAATCTGCCCAGGCTGGTTGCAGCGAATAAATAGAGTCATTGTGGAGCCCATACACAAACCGACCCAACTCCCTCCCCCACCCCTTCTCGCCCTCCCCCCGTCCCTTTATGCTTAAACGCACACAAATCTGCGGCCGCTTTGCACCAAGAGGAGCCCAAAGTTTTCTCCCCTTTACTGTCCCGCGCCTGTGGGAAAGGTTTATCCCCACGGATGGAATATGGACTTGTGGCGCAGAGCCGGGGGTTCACGCTGGGTGAGGGCAAGCAGGAGCCCGCCAGGAGCGGGACCCATCCTGCCCTGTCCCCGCGGAAGATAACGGTTCAAAGTAGCCAGATGCATTAAACAGCCACAAAAGGGGCCGAGAGGGACGGGGGGCGGGGGATGGGGGGAAGATTCACTTAAGTTTCTGGTGGAAAACTTAAATGCGGCCGTCTCTCCCTCTGCCAGCGTCGCTGCAAGGTGAAATCCATTTGGCCGCGTCCCTGCCGGCGGGGCGGGCGGCAGCCCCGCGCCCGGGGAACTCGCTCCGTGCAAGAGAATTTGCAACCTTGAAAGCATATTTTTCTTCCAGCTATGGTGGCACTTAGATGATAATGTAGGCAATGAAACTGGGGAGATTTATATCTTTTGGAAAGTAGGACGAGCCAGATGGTAATAGCGTCATTAACAAACAAACTTAGGATCTGCAAGTGAAGCTTGAAATTGGGAAAGAGATCTGGAGAACAAAAGGAGCTGCTGTTGGGGGGGTAGGGGGGGAAGAGTCCCTCTTCTGCCGGCCAAATCTAAGAGCACATTCTGGAGGGGCTGCTCCTGCCCAGCACTAGATAATAAACGACGGCTTTTTCCTCCCCCGTTGTGACTGAGAAAGGACAGAGAAAACTTTTGCAATAGGCAAATGTGGCATTTATTTATGTGTAACCCTTTGTAGTCTCAAGTGTCCCAAATGGGCCTTTAATTCAAATCCCTAGTTTGATACGGAGGGATCGCTTCTCCCAAGTTTATTTTAGAGAAACAAAGCCCCGCTTGTGGAAGTTGAAGGGCCAAAAGTTCAGTAATTATTTTTTTGAATTAATAGCAACGAATAAATATTAAAGGTTAAACGTTATTTGCTGTGAGAGTGGAAACATCTGAAGGATTTATTGTGTCTTCGAGTCTTTTTTTTTTCTTTAACCCCCTCAAAACCCGCTCACTCTTTGCTAGAAGGCACCAGCACAGCAGGGTGAGGGTCCCAGAGCAGGGGCGGGATGCGGGATGTTCAGGGAGGCCCCTGGCCGGGCTTGTCCCCTGCATCACCCTTCGGATTTGCTCTCCAAACCCACTCCGGCAGGTTCTCGATGTCCAGGGAAAAGGCCTTCAGCACAGATTTACCCAGCTGAGAGTCCATAAACACCCGAGACCCACCAGCTCCAGGGCTTCAGCAGGAGGGATGGGCTGTGTGCCTCCCAAATTTTAACCAGTGTGTTCCCAAATGCCACAGAAATGTTTGGAGGTCTTTAGAAGATGCCCGTATCTCCCTTCCAAAGTTGATGGTTATTAGACGATTAATGATTTAAAAGATGCCTGTTAACAGCCCCAAGTTGAGAGACATGGACCCACGCTCTAAAGTAAAAACCTAACGTGGGGGTTTTTTTGGGTTTTTTTTGGTTTTTTTTTTTTTTTTTTTTTTTTTTTTTTTTAATGTGCTGGAGATCTTTAAAAGCCCCGAGGACTTACCCTTAAGGCATTATTCAAAGAAAAAAAAACCTGAGACTGGCGGTTCGTCACAGGCAATTGTAAAGGGTTTCAAAGGACCGATCAAACGAGTTGGAGAGTAATCTACATTAAAGTCCGGATGGCAGTGTTACAACATGCACCTGCAGGGTATTTGCTATCCGTGCCCCTTACAGAGCTACAAATCACCATTAAAGAAAGCTGCTTAAGCTTCCTCCGCGCTTCTAGAAAGACTTACTCGGGCTCCTTCACTTTGATATTTATACATCTTGTTATTGATAAGTGTGGGGCTGTTGAGCGCTCCCTTCCCCCTCCCGGCCTGTCCCCGGGCACTTTTGCCCCGGCCCCTCCCCGCCCCATCCGCGCACGGCTCCGGGCGGGCGTTCAGGGCCCGGCCCCACGAACGACACGCGTGGGCGTGGGGTTATCCCCCTGTCCCTGCCGTGCGCCGGCCCCGGGAACAGTTTCGCTTTATTTTATGTGTGTAGCTCCCCCCGGGCTCTGTCACCAAGGCGACCGGGGCAGCCCAGGCAGCATCGGCACGCGGGATGTCCCGGCGGATTTTCTCACAGTTGCGGGAGGCGCAGACATGGAAATGAGCTCATTGCGGGGGAGTGGTTGCCGCCTGGGCTGCCCCCGGCCCGGCCCGGCCCGACCCGGCCCGCTGCTCCGGGGCTGCGGGACTCGCTGTCCCCTCCAAAGCATTCGGGGGAAGCCGCGCAGTTTTATCCCTGGCACAGTTAACCCTTGGCTGCCGGCCGGGAGAGCGCTGGCGACCCCCGCTCCCCGCTGCGCCCCCTCTGCTCCCGCACTCCCACGGGCAGCGCTCGGCGGGCTCGGCGCTCCCCCCGCCAGCTGATGTCAGCGGGGAAAAGGAAAGTTGTAAGACAAACAAACAAGCCGGGAAAGCTAGGAGGAGGGGGGAAAAAATCCAGATTTTTCTACCCACTCGAGGCGAAAAAGCTCAAAGGTCAACAGGGATTCATCAACTGCTTCCCACGGCTGCAGGCAGGGCGATACAATCAACTTGGATTACTTTTTCGGGTAATTTTAGTGATCAGTGATCAGTGTTTTAAGTGCTTCCCTCGAGTGGGTTCTCGCAAACGAACAAAAACATCACTCGTGGCAGGGGTGAGGCTGCGGTGCCCCGCTGAGGGCCCGGCCCCGGGCACCCCCGAGGGAGCACCGCTGTCCCTGGGGGCTCCTGCCGCGGGCAGCTGGGGGAGCAGCACACCGGAGGGAGCAGAAAGGGGCTGCGCCGCGCTGGAGGCACAAGAGGATTTACATGGTTTGTCAAAAATCAACTAATTGAACACCACGCACTAACGTAAGGGACAATATCTCAGATTTGGTGTACCTGCCTCACCTCTAGACAGCCAGCTGGCACCGGAGGGCCGGCACCCATGGCCCTGCCGCGTCCCCTTGCTCCCCCCTGCCCATGACGGGGCTCTCTCGGCAGCCAAGCGCGCATTGTTGGGGCCGGGGGAGCTGGGACGGGCCGGGGCCAGCAGCGCTGCCAGCGCCCACCGCAAAGTTTGCCAAGTCAGCTCCTCTCCTGGAATTGTCCTCGGGGGGGAGCGGGACCCTGCCCCGAGCGGCCCATCCCAGGCAGGGCGCCTCCAGCGCCAGGGAAAACCCGCGCAGCTGCGGGAGCGGATCCGCACCGGGGTGCGCCCCCCTCCGCCAGAAATCGCTCAACTTGTGCCTCGGAGCCCCGGCCCCGCCGCCGGGACAGGCTCCTGCTGCTGCCAGGGCAGAGGGGCCCGAGGCAGGGGCACCCCAGCACTGAGGGTGGCACATCGGGGGGGCCCGTCCCGCACCCCCCGGCGCTGGCAGGCCCGGGCACCTCTCCTGCCACATAACGGCGAGCGCAACTTGCAGCCGCCTCTGAAGTGTTGCAAAACAAATCCCCGGTACGTTGGCGGGGCTGGCGAGAAGGCGGCGGCACCGCCGGGAGCCCCGAGCCCCCCGGCTGCTCCCGCCGGCCCGACACCCCCGGCCGCAGCTGATGGGGGGCCCGGGGCGAGCGCGGCTTGGCCGAGCGCTAATTCGGTGTGTACGCTTGAGGCGGCCATCTGAGGGCTGGGTAGCAACCAGGGGAAAGGGGTGTATTCGCGACTGGAAGATTTAGGTTGTTGCTAGGATGTGAGAACAAAAAATCTTCAATAAGTCGGGGAGGGGGGAGGACGGGGCAGAGGGGGAGGAAGGGGGGTTACAAGGTTTGTCACAGGGAAAAGTGCAGACATCTGCTGGAACTTCCATATCTAAGCTGTTCATTTACAGGAGCCAACTTCTGAAATCTCCACAATTAGATCTGCATTGTTCTTTCTCAACAACACTGCCTAGAAAGAAAAGGTCTTCTCTGTCGGGGCCAATCCAACGAAGCGTTTGACGTTATTAAATAATAAAGCGATTGTGATTTACATTGTTGTTCAGAAAAAGGGCCAATTATCCACTGTTATGTTGCCATAAAGATCATATTAACTCGAATTAGTAATCAAACAATATGCTAGCGTTAAAAGTATAGAGAGGACAACGCGACTGGTCTTGTTGCATCCTCACTTTTTCTTGTAAAACCAGAAGCATAAATACACTTGAAAGAGGCGCAGAAACTTCATCCTTAACGGGGAAAAAGCGAAAGAGGTACCAGCGTTTGTGATTAATGGTCCTCTGTGTTGACTGTTTTCAATTAATTCAAAGCCACCCAAATCTCATATTGATTTTTCTGTTTACAAATTAATTCTTCTTTCGAATATCACGGGAAATGTTTCACGGTACTCCGAGAACCAGGGCGATTTTTTAATATAAAGCCTTTTAGGATTTTGATTTTTGGGGTGGTTTTTGTTTGTTTTTCATTTTGTTTTGAGTTTGGGAATTTTTTTTTCCTCAGAGTAACGTTTTCTAAAGGCGCCTGAGTTCCAAGCAAAGACGAACCTCACCCACCACCAAAACGCAAACCCAGCCGCATCCCCGCACTCCAGCAAATTTCCTCTGCCATAATCAAATAATTATTTTTATTAAAGCAGTTATTAGGTTTATAACTCATTTGCCACTTAAATTTGTGCAACCAACCAAGGCGATCTAAATAGGTTTGAGTTGCCCCTTGGGTCCGGGATGTAAGCGGTAAGAAGGAGGATTAATTATGGGTGTGTGCAGCAGGAGGACACAAAGGCTGTCCGGTGGCGCGGGGAGCGGGGCTGGGCTGGGCTCCCCCGGCCCCGGCACCCCCGGAAAACTCCCCCGCGATTGTTCCTGAGCTGCCGGGGGCCA